TTTTTTTTTTTTTTTTTTTTTTTTTTTTTTTTTTTAAGTGTCCTGTGTCCTTGTGTTTATTTGCTTATTAGATATTGAAATGATAAGTCTCAGATATTATATATTAGATATTGAAAAAGGCAATATCAGTAGAATATTTTATTTTAGTGTTTTATCACAGGAAATCATAGGCAGATTATAACCAATAGCAATCTACATTGGCCAGCTTCTCCAAGATCAAGACTAAATAGTACAGCACAATTTGTTCACAGTTTCAGGCCACTATTCGTCCAAATAAGGCTTCCGAGCCAAAAAGAAATACACTGCTGTCATAATTTCTTTCCTGAAATATGAGGTAAGGAAGATACCGTTAGTCTTAAATTGAAAGAATTAAGAATTTATGCGTGTTGGAAATAGGAAGCATCACATGAAAGAATTAAAGATGACCCACTTTCTAATAATTAATAAACAGAAGAATAATGCTACTTGTATAGTTTTCTTTACAGATTGACAGATGCTGAGGTGGCATGCACTTGGCCCTTGATTTGATCTGTCAACAAATGTATACAAACATTTATGTACAAGTTTCTTAATTGTAAACGGAATGCTCATCTTACTTTCCACCAGCAGCAAGTCCATCTGCTGCTTTCTCCGAGAAAGCTTGAACCCTTTGACTCCCCTTTGGGGCAAGTCCTACTTTTTCAAGAGCCATTACCTAGCAAAACTTAACAAATTATTTGAATGACACAGAACAAAAATACACTGGAAAATTCAAGTTAATTGACGAAGACAAAACCTTTTCACTAGGAAATTTGGCAAATGAAATGGGACAAGGAAATCAGATAGTGGATGTGCAAAATCTTACCATGTACTTGGTGATAATACGTCCAACTGCAGTCGAGCGGAAATTGCTGAGTGAGAATCGACTTTTATCCAGAGGCAAGTACCATGAGAGGGGCGAGTCTACTGCAAGATCCTTCTCCCATACAACCTTCAGAGATCAAAATCAGAAAACCGAAAAAAATGAAGTCCCTTATTTTAGTTATATAGAATTGCCAAGATTTTACTACTCACTTCGAAGCCTGCTTGTTCAAGAGCTTCAAGGCATTGGCGTGTCAGCCTTACATCCGGGAGGCCGTTACCTAATTCAATTTCTGCCTGCATCCGTAAAATTTGTACAATTCAAAGCATTTATGGTTGATGACCTACTCTAGAAGCTCAAAAGAATGCTCGAGGTGAATAAACAGTACCTTGATCTTTTGATGTTCTTCGTTACTGGGGTCGAAGGCGTCAGTCATGCACCATTCATTTGCAGCAAAACACTGACCAGGTTTCA